TAGCTTTGATGTGGCACAGGGCCGAAAGTATGGGGCACGCAGTGAGGATCGAACTCATTACACAGTCGTTAGGAAGACAAGCTCGCTAACCATTACACCATTTCGAGATGCCCAGACACCTTCCCACTAAATAACAAGTAGTATTGTTTCTCAATTTAACAGCCACAGAAAATTATCGTCTGTATCAATCATTATTGAATAGTTGTGACAAACTTTTCGCAAGATGTCTGAAGACAGAATATAGCACAATGAAAGATGCTTTCTCTAAGACTACAAGCGCGAAACGAACACAAGAGACTTATTCGAAATTCCAAATTACTTCACTGATTCGTAACCTCTTAAAAACATAAATTTACGCTGCGAGGAGTTTATTTTGATTAATATATTTACAGGACAAGAGATTGGCTATAATAAACTTTATCCAGACTCGTGTATTGACATGCTCATTCATCCATACTATTTCTTTGCTAACTCATCTGAAACCAGAGCGACAAACAATCTGTTAAGACGAATGTCAATGTAAGAGGACGATGACATTCCATGCCGGCAAGTGCTTCCCAAGGGCATATCCTTGCAGATAAATATAAAACAGCAAAATTGTCCAAATCGTGTAACAGTATAAGTATCCATTCCTACAAAATGTATAATATCTAAAAAAATAATTAAACGAACTGAATTTCTCATTTCAAAAACATTTAACTCATTTAAAAACCTTTTGTGTTATTCAGCAAGAAAGAGAACAGGTTAAAATCGATTGGTTTAAACCACACTGTCTTCTCAAATGAGCAATGGTGAGATGAAAAATATCATCCAGATCTTCGGTAATGGTACTATTCTTACTCTGGCTTCCATCTTCAAGTCCATTCAAGAACCATAAAGAGAACGAGGATCAGAAGCTCACAACTGGAATAGGGATCATCATTTCAACTTAGATTTAAAGAGATAAATTAGAAAAGATCCAACACAATTTATAAGAGGTTTGTCACGTGAGACTGGAGTCCAAAGAGCAGTGAGAAAAGACTTGAAAATGAAATCGTATGTGAAACCTGTCAGGTACCTTGTTACTCTAGGACAGAAAGTTAGAACGTCAGAGGGGGTGAAAATGATTCCCGAATAATAAATATATATATATATATATATATATATATATATATATATATATATATATATATGACATTATTTCAATCATTCATGATGTTCCAATCCATAGCTTTGGTTAATTAATGATGAACATGTCATTTTCTTTGATGATCGATTTCATGACAATTCTTCTGTTAAGCTTCAAGAGTAATTATACATATGTATTGCTAAAATTAGCGTCCAATAGCGCTATAAAAATCTCAGAGAATTCCAGTAAGATATCTTTAATCATTTCTAAGAAACCATAGCTTAATCCAGCAAATAGACAATTTTTTACACGATTTGGACAATTTTGCTGTTACAAACGGTGTGTATATATATATATATATATATATATATATATATATATATATATATATATATATATATATGTTGGTTCACTGTGTCATTTATTCTCTCCTGCATGTATCTTACATATAAGTCTATTGTTCGTCCATGCTCTGAATATTGTTGCCACATCTGGTCAGGTGCACTTGCTGTATTGTAGAATTTCTTGATATAATCCAAAGAAAAATCTGCAATGTTATTAGTCCTAATCTCTCATCTCGGCTTCAGTCATTTCCCTACAGTCGTAATGTAATTATGTTGTACTTTTTCTATAAATAATTTCATGGTAATTTTTCTGATGAATTACCTAGATTTTATGAATTTAAGAGCTTTAATATATGATGTCCCACAAAAAACAAAACAAAAAAAAACATGAAAATTTAAATTTATTATATGATGAAAAAAAAATTACTAACATATAGAAAAATCATTTTTTTTTATTTTTAACACTATATCTAACATTTGTGTTTTTGATTTATTTTAAGCTACTAAATTTTTATACTTTGCTTTTGTTTAAAAAAAATGTGACAAAAATTGAAGCAATTAAATAAACTTTCCTAACTTATCTGTTTTGTGGGGTACCCTGTAAATAGGCGTCAAGGTCACACCATATTATAGTTGAAATGGATAGATGCAACCGTAAGACCTATGCTTCTATCGTACTTCCCGCATGTGGAACTCACTTCCCGGTTCTTGCTTCACACTCAAGTTTGATCTTCAAATATTTAAATGCAATATCAATCGTTATCTTCTCTCTTCTTAATTTTTGTTCTTTCATTTTCCTCTCTGCTTAACAGCAGTTTTTCTCATATTTTCAAACAGTAGCCCTTCAGGACACTGGCGATCATGGCTCTCCTCAATTTTCTTTCTCCTGCGGCTTTTAGAAATTTTTATCACTTTGCTAAGAGCCCCGACTCCCGTTCCGCCATCCGTTAACACAAGTTCGTTGCATTCTCCTATTTCACTTGTCCTCAATATGCCGCGTGAGAATTGAGTTTCCCAAGCTGTACCCATGAAATTTCAACTGTCATGTCCTGATTCTGAGTGCAAGTGTTCTTTCTTCTGTTGTTTTCTTTAAGACAACTTTGTTGCTTACACGCTCTGTTACAATTTTTGGATACATTAGACTACTAGTGAGCCAACCCAGATGACTTGACTCACTTTATAGTCCACCAATAGAAGGTTAACCAATCAGAAGACGTAGAATATTCAATCCGACGTGTATAAAGGCGGCCATTTTGTTTACTCTATCCGAATGTCAAGTACCAACTTGTCAGGCGAAGAGGAACAGAAGGAAGAACTACGCTCTGCTACTTTACCGGGATATCCACTGCTAACCTGAACAAGCTTCCCTACTGTCTTCGAAATATTCACTGCTAACCTCTGGATTCTATACTCAAAGACGACTGTCATTATGAACAACACGCTCCCTTCATGGAATTTTAAGCATCCTTCTGTAGAACCACATTTCTACTTACTCTATTTTTTTCCTTATCTTAGGGTAAATTGTCCGACATTCACGGTCAAATAAGAAGATGGATACCACATAAAAATCAATCACTTTTTCTTATTACCGGGATTAGCTTTTGGAATGTCTCTTTTGTTAGTCAAATACATGTTCGGATTTCGGTGTCACATCACCCCCTCTGTTAAAAATTTTCCCAGATATTTGAATTTCTGGGTCGGCTTGTTTCTTGATGTTTATATCTCACAATTCGTAACAATCTGTGAGAAAAAGAGCAACATGTCGCAATTCAGTCTGCCAAAAATTTGGAAACGGCATACTGTCCTGCTTGGCATTCGCGCTAGAAGCTCCAATACGAACATTTAAGATTGGGTGTCAATCTGAGGACAATGCAAAGAATTTAGAAAAAGGTCGGATGAGTCTAATGATGATTAGGAAGCTACGGTATCTTGGAAAACACACCCTGATCATTCTGATAAGAAAAGAACACCCGAATTTTTATTTTTTGGTGAGGGTCTCTGACTCAATCCGGGAGCCTACATCAAATGCCTTCAGGAGCTAGTTTTACTCCGAGTCCAACTCTGCACCAGGCCACAGGACTCTGCACCAGGCAAGATGACTCTGCACCAAGCCACACAATCAGAAGAACCCAATCATAACTATCAGGCAATTTCTAAGTCTACATCCCCTATTACATATGGCCACCTAAGTCCCGAAACTATAACACTCTTGTTTATTTTGTGTGGCGTGCAGGTGAAAGATCAACAAAATTACTTGCAGCAGTAAAGATGAATTGAAGACAAGGATTATGGTAGCAATCACCAACTTAAACAAGAAGACTGTCCAGATCAGTTGCAAGAGATTCCGAAGTCAGCTGGAGGCCGTTGTTGAAGCCTATGATGATTTATATTTAACAGCTTTACTCTCTAGTATTTCAAGATATTTTTTGTTTAATTTTGGTAAATATATCTGTTAAAATGATATGTCAGTGTTATTTTCATCTATCTATCTATCTATCTAGTCGAAATTTCATTATATACTTAAATATCTATCTCAGTCTGTCCATTATCTATCTATCTAGGTAAAGAATTCGTCTAGATAGATAGATACATATGAAATGTTGTTATTGTTACGGCTCTGTCGTGTTTAGGTTTCCCTTTTATTCAATGAACGCTATTGATTTTTTTTAAAGGTAGATGTCTGTTTTGTTCCATGTTTTGTTTTTGTTTATGTGTTTTACCTTCACCTTTTACGTGGTATATTTTGTTTATTCACACACATACATACACACATATATATATATATATATATATATATATATATATATAGAGAGAGAGAGAGAGAGAGAGTGAAAGAGCGAGAGAGAGAGTGAGAGAGAGTTAAATACATATTCCAACAGAAAACCCCCCCAAAATCTTGACAATTTCTCTCGCTACTCTTTCGATCCTTTCATAGAAATCGTCCCGGCATTCCACACTCCTTACAAGTAACGATCAAAGTTCCAAACGGTTTTAACCTTTACACCTTGAACCCACCACGCCACGTGTACTGCTGCGAACCATCCTCATTCTTTTTGTATTCAGTTAGTGCGGAGTTCAACTTCTACAAATTGCGAAATCGACTCCCAAGAGGATGTTTCTTCGACCACTACAATTTTAACCAGTCCAGGGTTAACTACTAGCCTTACATATACTCATCAACTGCACGTCCAACCTCTTATTCTTATCGCTAACTCAACAAACACCCTCAGTATTCATCCATATTGGGCATTGTATAATAAAATGAAACAGATATAAGAGAACAGAGTTAGATAAATAGATTTTTGCGTGGGGGGGATTCTTTGATTTGTTTTTACGGTGTATCAATATTTTTTAGATTGAATGTTTTTTTTTTGGAGATAATAATGATTTACTGATACAAGTCTTACTAATTAACCCACAGATAGGGAGATAGGTGAGTTCATGGCTCTCCGAAGATTATTTGCTCGCAAATGAATATAACGACTCCGAGTGATTCTGCGATTTACAATTCAGTACCGTTATTCATTACAACAACCGCACTTCCATGTTTGCAGCCCCTGGTATTCGCAAGCGATCACCCATCTAGCTACTGACCAAGCTCGACGTCGCTTAACTTCGGAGATCGTACGGAAACCAATATTTCAACGTGATATGACTGTTAGTCAGTTAGATAAGTACAGGCTAAGATAGTGTGATTTGAACAGTTTGAAATAGATGTGAATAGAATGAGATAGATATGAACAGAATAAGACGAAGATGTATGAACGGAATTAAATACATAGATAAATATGAACAGATTAAGATATAAGTAAGAAAAGAAAGGACGAAAGAAAGATAAATAAAAGGTGGAAAAGAATTAGTGACAACAGCACAGCGGTTGGTTTCAACTTCCTATTTAAAGAGGCCCAAATTATTTCCCGTTTCAAAAGAATGCGCATCACTTGACACTGTTGTTACTATGATTCCTTTTGTCAGGTACAATGGTTGACTGTCAATTTCTTTTCTGTTATGCTGCTTGCAAAAAGTAGCTGTCTGTTTCGGACTATGTCGGCCGTTTTTCCTAATTCCTAGTGGAAAGACCAATTCACGTCAATGGAGACACGGAAGTTTGACTGAAAAATGCGAGAAAAAAAAACAACAAAAAAAAAAAAAAAAAATTTTAAGCCTGAATGCCGAATACACAACCAAACAAATCAAGAATTCGAAAACTTTTCAATAGGGTGCCTACCGTAACGCAATACTCGGCAAACACATCTACCGCATTTTTTGTCTGGTGGGATGATTTCACCCTTCACTGGGTGTTATATTAACATGGAGTTACGCCAGTTTTAGCTAAGCGTATTACACTCCTATGATAATACACTGTAGCACAAGGTTTAACATACTTCTCTTGCTATGTAAGTGATGTAGATTGTGAGTTCGATCCTACCTTGGGATTCAGATTACAGCGCTTGTGTAAACGCAGCTTAGTTAAAAGCCAATCAGAAGAACGCATACCGTAGCTACCAGTACACTTCCTATGGCTCCATATTCTCAAATCTTTCTATTATAGCTTAGAAATTTAGGTAGAGCAATGGTTAACAAGCTTATTTATAGTAAATACGTTTTTGAGTGCTTCACAGTATGGCTGAGCGTTTTATTATGCTTCAGAATTTAAAGTGGAGTGATGGTTAACAAGCTCAACTATTATATTACAAATATAAATGGTATGTTTCTGAATGCTCCACGTTTTGTCTTATATCAGACGAAACGGAGCGTTTTATTATGGTTCAGAACTAAAAGTGGAGTGATGGTTAACAAGCTTAAATAACATATTATTACTGTATAGAGTACGATTGTGAGTGCTAACATTGTGGTCTGAGTGTTTTATGGCTCAGAAATTTAAGTTGAGTGATGATTATCAGCTATCATATTACAAATGTAGAGATTATGATTCTGAGTGCTCCATATTGTGGCCTTATGAAAGAAGATGTTGAGCATTTTATTATGGTTCAGAAATTTAAGGGGAGTGACCGTTAACAAACACAACAAATATATTACTACTGTAGAGAGTGTGATTTTACTATGATTCAGAACTTTAAATAGAGGGGTGTTTAACAAGCTTAGCAAACATTATTATTTATATCAAGAGTACGATTCTGAGTACTCAAGTTTTATGACCTTGTGTCAGAAGAATCTGTGCTAACTAAATAGCTATCAGAAAGACGCCTGCCTTGGTGCAGTTGTCAGCAAGCTGTTTTTCCATATAAATTTCCTTATGAAAGAAGAAAGGTAACCATTTTCCCCACTTTTTTTTTTAGGAATAACCTTTTTTATAGTCCTGGTTTGAATTGGTCTAATTAGTGTATTTTTAAGTAATTCCATTTTTATTCATAGATTTGTTTTCCAAAATTTATATTTGCTTAAGGGTTATTAATTGTCTACTTTTCGGACTTATAATCTATTTGTAGAAAACTAAGATAATTTTTAGAAGTATATTTCTCTTTTGACTTCTCGGCAAAGTTTGTTTTTCTTTATGTGTTGTTATAAGTTGGTGATATTTTTTTTAAAAAAAGCATGTAATTTTTTAGTGTGGCATTTAGATCGTATTTTTTCGGGATAATTTTCTTTTTCAATATTGTAGTATGTCCGATTTTTCCTTAGTAAATAATACTTTGCGTAATTACTTACTCTCTTTTCTGGAATGATCTGTTATATCAATATCGCTTTCTGATATATATATATATATATATATCAAACTCGTGGCGTGATGATTTCGTCTAGCATGAAACAGCTTGTCGCCTCTAAGTGTTGACTTCAATGTTCACTTTTATATTTACACACGCTTTATCTCTGATATTGAGCACTTTATCCCATAAATATAGCACACCTTAAAACTATATTTCTTCATATATATATATATATATATATATATATATATATATATATATATATATATATATCCATTAATTATAATTTACTTCACCAGAGAATTTTATTTTTCTCTGGATCTTCAGACTTCACTTTCAAACGTGAAAACAACAATAAATTTAAAATTTACACTTTTGCAGGGCAGTATTAAGCTTATATAAAGTGACATAGAGTGTGGTGAGGAATAGTGTGAGAGACATGGTCGAGTTTAGAGAGGGAAGGGAGAGTTTTAAAATTTATTTTTATTTTTATTACAATAGTTGATATTGAGGAGGAGGTGGAGGAGGTAAGGATATATAAGAAATGGTTGAAATGCCAGCTTACCATGAAATCTGTGTTTCGAGTGTATGGTCTCTTCAGGCAAGTGGAAGGATGTACAAGCCAGGGAAAAAAAAAACTCCAATATTCCCGTGTACGGAAATGGGGGATAAAATTATGACGATTGGGGGAGAGGGAGAAGAAAAATATTTATTGTTTAATTCTACTTACCCGGGTTCATACGTACCTAAAAATATCTTCTTAAATGTCTGCACTCACACATGATCTCCTTTTTCTCATTTAATTAAACACCTTTATCAGTGTACGTGGCAATAGCCAATTTCTCTCCCTGGCACAGCCAGCAAAACTTACCATAAATTCTGCCAGGTTTTACCTTCCTTACCATGCTCCACCTCACACAACGTCTCCTGTCATTCTTTTCTTCATATTTCCAAACACAATCGGCCATCTTGGTGTCATATCTGTGGGTTTTCAACCTAAAAAACTAAACAGAAATATAAAATGTCGTTTTGAAAGGGCCCTCTGTACATCCAAATTATATTTTCTTGAAACCATTTCATCACTGACCTCAGCAATGTAAACGATGTCTTCCGTGCAGCATTCCAATGGACAATTATTTTTACTTTTTTCAGTTGTATATCTCCATATCTTCACTTCCACATCTTTCTGCCTCCAATATTATAACGTTATGATACTTAGTTACATTCTTCAAGTTACAAATGCAACTGTAACTCATTTTCACCGTATTCTTATTAAACACCTTAGTTATTAAATTTTAGGAAAATATTTATGCAACAACTTAAAAAAATATATCTCAAATTTTAGTTTTCAACTGCAAATTATAAGGGGCGTTAAATCAGATCGTATTCCGGATCTTGGTTTTATATTTAGACTGAGTATGAGGCGCGACAACCAAGTCGATAATATACCCCTCCTCTCTCAAAGCATTTTCATGTTTTTTTATGATTAAAAGTCTCCCTTGAGGACGAATTTCTAGAGATCGTACATTCAATCCCGGGATGTGCTTAATAACACTCACGTGGTGGTTTGACCTGATGTTTACATATTTGATGACAGAATTAGGTTTCATATAACGTGGTTTGATGAGGTCAAATTCGGCATCCTAATGATCGATAATTTTTTAAGTCCACCTCGTAATTTTAAAGCCTAAATCCTTAAAGGTCTTAAAAAATTTCTTTTCGAATGGTATCGTTGGCCCTTCTATTATTGGGCACAGCCATCAGGCCATCGTCCCATTATATTCCTTGGCTGTCTATACGGTTAATTTTGTTAATTTTACTTAATATATAAATGGCAATAAGCTCGGCAATGTTCTGCTCAGAATCCTTGGGGAACGTCAAAGTCATTATTAAGGTGAGTCATGCTTCTCCACCGTGAAATAACATAGATTTTCTACAGGGAAAAATAGCCCCCATATGGTCTGGTTGAATAGATACAAATTGTCTGGCATAATTCAATGCTTCAGTGAGACCTTTGTCGGTAATGGATGGGTAAAAATAAAAAAAAAAAATCATATTTAATGAAGACCAAATCATTCTTGTTTTTAATTTTATTGAACCATTAGTACCTTGCCAATGATTTACCTGCGTGGGTACCCTCAGCAAACCACAAACATTTTGAATAATAACGCGGCCGATAACCCCGAGTTCCGTCATTGTAGGGTTAATAAGGCGAAAACGGGGACAACTGCCGAAGTCTTTTTTTGGTCTCGCCAATTCCCATTTCATTTGCAATATCCGTTGCATCTAGTTTGTTTATATTAACGTAAGAATTGGGAGCTTTCCTATAAAATTTAGTGATTTTGTTGGCAACCAGGGCTCATTAAAATATACATTCTTTGTTTTATCGCTCATGACACAGATTTTCTTCGTATTTTTAATCTTCTCAATCATCACCGATAATACTTTTTGATAGCCGCATTTAGTGCTTCTAAATTGCAGATTGTACATAATGCTTAAAAGTCCTCACTCAGAGTTAGACAACTCTCTATAACCGGTGGGTACTGCCTGGTCCTAAGGTGATATATATCTTCATTTTCACGATAACCTCATCAATTGTTTCATCAATTAGAATGAAAATGCTTGATTATTATAGTTTTTCGTACAAACATAATTTTTCTTTGGATTCCAAATCACAGTTCCATTTTTTTTTAAGATCTAATTTGACTGTAAATCAAGAAGCCAGAAGAGGGTTCTACAAGTGTGAAGTGCGAGAGAAGAAGTTTTTCTAATTCTTCTTCTTCTAATCTTCGATGTGTGTGTCAGTTATCCCTGGAGATTGATTGGCAGTGTAGTCAGCACCCTTCTCAGTATTACGACTGGTTTTAGCAGCGATGCTGCTCGCGTGATTCCTGTTCTTTAGATTTCCAAATCTCAAACCATTTCTGGCTCTCCTCTTTAGGGCCGTTCAAATCGACTATACGACAAAGGCTCTTGCTTGTGATAACTG